TATAGTAAATGGAGAATTAACCCAAGTTATAGAAATTCACAAAGGCGTAAGACGAGGATGTCCATTGTCCCCTCTGCTTTTTATATTTGCATTAGAAACCCTTAACAATGTAGTGAGAGAAAACAGCCTAATTAAAGGTTTGAAAGTAATAGATGAAAAATATAAATTGCAGGCATTTGCGGATGATCTGTTATTTATTATAGAAAATCCTTTAAAGTCAATACCAGTTTTCTTGGGAGTGATCAAAGAATATGGATACGTGGCTGGACTTAAGATCAATATAAGTAAGACTAAATGATTGGCTAAGAACTGTTGTCAAAAAACATTGCAAGATATATAAGCCTTAACTAATATAGAAATAGTTTTAAAAAATCAAATACTTGGGTATAATTATATCAAATAAATGTAGTACACTAATGGAGGATAACTATAATAAGTTGTTAGAAGAAATTAGAAAATATCTGTCTAAATGGAAAGACCTGCATATTTCAATGATGGGAAGGATAGCGATGCTAAACATTAATATATTACCAAGATTCCTATTTCTAGTACAAAACATACCTATAGTTAGAAAAGTACAATACTTTGAAGAACTTGATAAAGTAACTAGACTATTTGTTTGGGCACTGAAAAGATCAAGGATAAAATGGAAAATAATGCAAGAAAAGGGGCGGATTTGGTGTACCAAATTGGAGGTTGTACTACCAAGCAGCAGCTTTAAATTGGATAAGGGAATGTTGAAGAATACTAGATGCTTGGCATTAGAAGGTTTTGATTTGTGCATGGGATGACATGCCTACACTTGGTATGGAAAGGATAGAATCCATTCCAATTTTCAACAACATGCCTTAAGAGGACGACTGCTTAAAATTTGGAACAACATGAAAGAACGGTACTATAAGAAAGTACCCTTATGGGTATCTCCATTAGAGGCATTTGTTAGTACCTCATTTATAACAAAATATGAAATTTTACTAGATAAAAAGAAACTGAAAGATGGGGAAGTTTTAGGAGATCAACATAATATCAGGCTTTCTTGGTGGGAAATTAATCAATTAAGATCAAGATATGATAAAGATGTAAAAGTTGAGTTTGAGGAAAGTAGAAACGAATTAGAGAAGATCTGGCTATCATCGAGTGACAAACTGATTCAGAAATTATACAACTGGTTACTTGAGGAGGCTATGCTGGAGGAAACAGTGAAAACGTCAATGGTGACATAGATGCAGGATTTAGGATATACAATAAACTTGGAAGAATGGAATAATGAATGGAAAAAATTGAAAATTTTAAGAGCAATATCTTATAAAGAAAATGTATATAAAATGCATCATAGATGGTACTGGTCACCAGATAGAATTTCAAAATGTCAAAAGAATATATCTAATACTTGTTGGAGATGCAAGTCTAATGTAGGTACCTTCTACCATATGTGGTGGAGATGCCAAGAAGTTCAAAAGTAATGGAAAATGGTTCAAAACATAACTGGGGAAATTATGAATGTAAAAGTAGACTTAAGTCCGGAAATGTATTTATTGAATATAATATCAGGTGATAAATATACACGTTGAGAACAGTATAGCATATCTGTACAATTTCAAGGATTTTATTAGCAAAACATTGGAAGATGGATAGAATACCCTCCCAAGAAGAAATAGCATTTAAATTACTAGAAGTAGTAGAAATGGACTGGTTACAAGCACAAGTATGTGGGACTAAAGAGAAAGTAGTTGGTCAAAGATGTATAAGAGTTAAACAATGGATTGAAAATAATGCATTTATTATTTAGTTTAACTTCTACCCCACCCTCCCTGCCGTAGCAGCTCAGGGCAGCTTACACAAAACCACTAAAAGAATATACATTTCAATATAACGCACATAATAAATTTAAAACCATTAATGTATCATTGGCGGCATGGTATAATAAAGTGCATCTAAACACGTTCCACAGTGCAACCGCTTTAAATAGCTTCAACTCGCAGATCGGCACAGATCGGTCAATGGGTGCCGCTCCCACTGGAACGCCTGCCGGAAAAGCTCCGTTTTCACGGCCCTGTGGAACTGCTGAAGGTCCCGCAGGGCCCTGATCTCACCTGGGAGCTCATTCCAGTAAGTCGGTGCCACCAGGGAGAACGTCCTGGTCCTGGTCAATGTCAGCCTAGCGTCCTTAGGACCAGGGAGGGTCAGGCGGTTTTGTTTTCCTGATCGCAGTGCTCTCTGGGGAACATGCGGGGAGAGGCGGTCCCTCAGGTTTGGCCACCACCAGTTCTGCGATTAGCTGGTGAACCCTGGCACACCGGAAGGCTGGTAACAGATGTAGGGAGCATAGCCATGGTAGCAGTGACTCTTGCAAAAGACTCCATCAACAACTCTGAACAGTACAATTCATACCACAGACAACATGGTACCTCCACGAAATTGCACAGCATGCCTTTGTCGTGTGGCCATAACAGGATTATCCCAATTTTGTACTGCTCCCAAGTGTTCTTCTAGCCCAGATGATATGCTGGGATAACTCAGATAATTAAACGATTAAAAGCTTCTGTGAGCACTATAGAGGCAATGCTTATTTATTTACTTCATCTACCCCCCCTTTCTCCCCAATGGGGGCCCAAAGCAGCTTACATCGTCCCTCCATTTTATCCTCACAACAGCCCTGTGGGGTAGGTTAGGCTGAGAGTAGGTGACTGGCTGAACATCACCCAACAAGCTTCCATAGTAGAATGAGGATTCAAAGCTGGGTTTCCCAGATCATAGTCCGATACCCTATCTACTACACCACATTGAGACGGAGCAGCCAATCATCACATGCAGAAAAGGGCAACTAGGATGATAAAAGGGTTGGAAGACTTTCCCTATGAAGAAAAGTTAAAGCGCTTGGGGCTCTTTAGCTTGGAGAAACGACGACTGAGGGGTGACATAATTGAGGTTTACAAGATTATGCGTGGGATAGAGCAGGCAGAGAAAGAAGTACTTTTCTCCCTTTCTCACAATACAAGAACTTGTGGGCACTCAATTAAATTGCTGAGCAGTCGGGTTAGAACAGATAAAAGGAAGTACTTCTTCACCCAAAGAGTGATTAACACATGGAATTCACTGCCGCAGGAGGTGGTGGCAGCTACAAGCATGGACGGCTTCAAGAGGGAACTAGATAAGCATATGGAGCAGAGATCCATCAGTGGGTATTAGCCACAAGGTATTGATAGGAACTCTCGGTCTGGGGCAAGGGATGCTCTGTATTCTTGTTGCTTGGGGGGGCGGATTTGGTGTACCAAATTGGAGGTTGTACTACCAAGCAGCAGCTTTAAATTGGATAAGGGAATGTTGAAGAATACTAGATGCTTGGCATTAGAAGGTTTTGATTTGTGCATGGGATGACATGCCTACACTTGGTATGGAAAGGATAGAATCCATTCCAATTTTCAAGTGTGTCATGTATGGCTGCAAGAGTTGGACTATAAGGAAGGCCGAGCGCCGAAGAATAGATTCTTTTGAACTATGGTGCTGGAGAAGACTCTTGAGAGTCCCTTGGACTGCAAGAAGATCAAATCAGTCAATCCTAAAAGAAATCAACCCTGACTGTTCCCTGGAAGGCCAGATAATGAAACTGAAGCTCAAATACTTTGGCCACCAAATGAGAAGGGAGCACTCACTGGAGAAGACCCTGATGCTGGGAAAGATTGAAGGTCAAAGAAGACGGGGACGGCAAAGGATGAGATGGTTAGACAGTGTCATAGATGCAACGAACATGAAGTTGAGCAAACTTCAGAGGACGGCAGAAGACCGGAAGGCCTGGCGTGATCTGGTCCATGGGGTTGCGAAGAGTCTGACTCGACTGTGCGACTGAACAACAGCAACAACCTTCACACATGTATCCTTATTGTCCCTTAATGTTTTCCATCTGAGAGACTGGAGATCATAAACATTTAGATTAGAAAACAACTTTTGTAGTAAACAAAAGAAAGTGTATTATTTGGACAGTCTCATAAAGTCACACAATAGGACAACCAGCACCAGGGTGATCTAGTGTACCTCAAGCATGACTGGATTAGATTGCAGAATTACCCACCCTCAGAGGAGGCTGCTATTAGAGGACAGTGCTCCATGAGTCACTATTGCATCTTTGCATGAACAAACCAACATGCAGAAACAGTAGGGGAGCTCCTCTAAGGCAGATTCATACCCTTTTACACACCAAATAAATAGTATTAAAAGTAATTTTAAAAGTGTGACACTTTAAATTAAGGGGGAAAAATCTGCCTCAATGATCAGATGGTTGGGGAAAGATTGCTACAAATATTCCTATTTTTTTTAAAGAAGACCATTAGCTGTTGATATGGAGTATCTAGTCCCTTAAAAAAGGACTATGTGTACAAGCCCTTGAACTGCCCAACCAGCTATGTTGTCACTGACATTTTAACCGAAGTGCTCCTTCCTATGAGCCAGGGCTATTTTGGGGCAGGAACGGAGTTCCGGCTGGCTTCAGAGTTGGCCACGCCCACTACAGCCAAAACCTCTGCATGCATGGCTACAGGGGGAAGGCCTGGAGAGCGACCCCCCACCCGGCGACTCCGAATCGGGTGGGCCCTGGAAGGATTGGGGAGGCATTTAAATGCCTCCCTGTGCCTTCCCTGGCCTGTCCAAGGGCCGGCTTGCCTGGGGTCCCTACAGCCACAGGGTGCCTAGGCAAGCTGGGGGGGGCTCGCCCAGGCAAGCCAAGGGGAGGCACGGGGTGTGGCCTAATATGCTAATGAGTTTCTGCTGTCCAAGGGCCGGCTTGCCCGGGGTCCCTACAGCCACGGGGTGCCTAAGCAAGCTGGGGGGGGGGGGGCTCGCCCTGGCAAGCCAAGGGGAGGCACAGGATGTGGCCTAATATGCTAATGAGTTTCTGCTGTTCTGTGTGGCCTGCTGGGCTTTTGCTACCGAAAAAGCCCTGCTATGGGCCCTTTCCCAACATCCACTCCAATAATTAATGGGCTGTTCTGAAAACGGCTCCTTACTTGTGAGAGATGATTGTGGGCGGCAGCTGTTTGTGATCTCCAGCCAGGACACACTTTCTGGCCTTCAGCAGAGGGATCCAGCAGCTCGCTTCAAGGGCTTGTGCGCATTCATCAATAACCACCAGATCAAAGTGATTGTCAGGAAGCAGCTTCAGGGGGCCATCAGAAGAGGCTCCTAATTAAACAAAGAGTACATTACACAACTGGGATGCCCATTATTAGGATTTCTAGCAAAAACGGTCTTTAAGCCCATCAGTACACTTGGCGAGAGGCTTTTGCTCTTGGTAACTGTCTATCCCTTACGGACCATAGCCCCTGCAGCGCTTTGCCATACCATCCAAAGTCCCTTACTGGTCACCATTCACTCTAGTCCCCACACTGTCCCTCCTTCCTGATTCCGCACTGGAACACAGCCTGATAGAAGTACTTGAGAAGAAGAACCTTGTGATGTTTAAATCTGTGCCTAGCCTTCACGTTTTCTCGTTCACACTGGCAAAGGTTACATCTACAGAGACAAAGCCCAAAGGGATTACGTTATGTTTCCTGTTAAGGTCGGAGAACAAGAAGCATAATCATATGGTGATTTCTATGACCAGTATTAGGAGGCCCAATCTGCATAAGCAGCAAATGTATGGGATAGTGAAAGTGCAGAGAGAGCTTTTCTCTCCCTCATCCATATTTTAGAATTTAGGGGTGCACAGTGAAGTGAATAGGCAATAGATTCAGGGCGGACAAAAGCAAATATTTCTTTATTCAACTAACAGTCCAATTGTGGAATCAACTCTCAGTGAACAAAGTGATGGTCACTAACGCATAGAGCTTGAAAACAGGATTGGGCGGAGCCATGGAAAGAGAGGTCCATCAATGGCTACAGTGACTAAAGGGAATCTCCACATCCAGAGGAATAAACCTCTAAATACCAGCACTAGGAGGCAACATAATGGGAGGCCTTGGCCTCTAAGTTCTGTTTCTTTGAATAGCTGGTTGATAACTGGTGGACCACAGTGTGAAACAGAATGCTGGACTAGATGGACCACTGGTCTGATCCAGCTGGGCACTTCTTCTGTGAGCTGATGGGAATGCAGACAGATGAAGTCACAGGACTCCTCAACAGAAATATATTTTTAAATGTCTCGGCCTAATGTTAGGGATACAGTTTCTCTTAGCCACCCTTCTTCCTGAAACGATAGTTCTGGATTCCACACACACACACCCATCAGCAAGAGTTTGATAGTGTAGATCCCACCTGCAGTCTGAAATGGTACAGTCCAGCAACAAGTATATCATGTCATCTGCTACTGGCACGACCCAAGTCAGAGACAAGCTTTTCACAGGAAATATTTAGCTCCATTATTATATCAAACTAATAATCTCTTTATGTTTGATTCATATGCATACGACTCATGGCCAAAACAGACCGCATAGAAATTTGTTTTATATCTAAACAGTCTTTTCATTTTGTATATAAAGCTAGATATGATTTACCTGCCCTACTATTTTTGATTTGGGTTTTGATGTTGTGGAAAGCTCCAGGTAAAGTAACCCTGAGATAAAATGATGCAACTACGACGATGCACGTTATTGCATCCCAGACTCATGTCCCTCAGGGCTGAAGCAATTAAATTCTGCTTTTGCTGAACTTGGCAACAAGACGACAGAAGTAGGTCTGGTTTATACCAACTCTGTAGAACAAAAGAGGCCAAAATGATTTCTACCTGAAATTATATTAACCGGGTAATTGTTCCAACTGGAACGTAATTTTGAAAAGAAAAAAGAAAAGTCCATTGTAAAAGCAATACTAGGCTTCAAGGTACTAAAGATGCGTTCATGCCTGATTTCCAATTAAACTTGTACCCAGGAAAAACAGACTTAAGGTTCTGTCCACTGCAACACACCAGCAGTGCCTGAGAGCAAAGAAAACCAAAATCAAGATGTCCAAGAGCAATATTTCTGTGGCCCAACAGTTGCCAAACGGTAGCCCACAGGCCACCTGAAGTCTTATTATTCTGGGCCGCTTATCAGCAGGACAAAGGGAGCTTTGACTCTTGAAACCCTGGGAAGGTACTTGTAATGATTCCTTGTTTTAGCGTGTGTGTTCCTTTAAATGTTTGGTTGGAGTGCAGTGCTAGTAGAGTAGAGTGATAGAGGGAGACAAGTGTGCTGTGACTGGTGGATAGTGTGGGAGGAGTTGTTTGAAGTGAATCTGTGTGTGTCTTGAAGTCAGTTATAGAGAAGTCAGTTGGAGTTGGTTTTTCAGTTTGTGAGTCAGTGAGTGAGTGAGCTGACAGAGTCTGTGTGGAAACTTAAAGAGTTCAGAGTTCAGTATATATGGCTTTAAGAGTTTAAATGTGAAGGAGCTATGAGAAGGGTCTGTGAGACTCTAAAGTAAAGAAAGAGAACCAATACTACAAAGAGCTAAGCCAGTGTGGCTGCCTATGTGAGAGACTCGTGTCAGAGTGGGATCTTAATGTCAAAAGACTGTGTGTGATACCTTGCCAGTTTATTTACCAGTTCCTTTTCCCCAATACAGTTACAATTAACCAGCAACTTATTTTTTTGTTCCTTAATCAATAAATCACATTTTGTTTAAGTTTAACCCAGAATTCAGTTCAATCCTTCCTCATGGCCACATAGACCTTTGAAAGCCCAGATCCTGGGTCATATTACCAACAGCAGAAACAGAGAGGTTTGGAATTTCTTAAAATTCCTGGTGGCAGCAGAAACTACCCAGTTTATTACACAAAGAATAATTTTAAAGTGGAAACAGTCCCCCCCAAATAAGCAGTGCGCCACAGTGCTACTGGACTTGAATCTTGCTCTTCTACTGCAAACCAGCACAGCCACCCACCTGAAACGATCAGTAGGTGTTATGGTAAAGACTGCCATAGTTGCTTAGCACACTACTCTGCTGCCAAAGCTCCTGTAAAGAACACTGCCATGGGGAAAAGATTAGAGTGTTCCCGGGCACAGATTAGAGTGTTCTCCGTACAGAAATAGATGCACATCATTTTGTATCCTCCATACAAATACATGAATACCACTGGAATCTGACAAAAGTCTATTATTTACAAAGTAAGGTTTATTTCATTTTCCTGAGGGTTTTTTTTTCTACCACAATAAGAAGAATGACGGGGACGGCAAAGGATGAGATGGTTAGACAGTGTCATAGATGCAACGAACATTAAGTTGAGCAAACTTCAGAGGATGGCGGAAGACTGGAAGGCCTGGTGTGATCTGGTCCATGGGGTCGCGAAGAGTCGGACTCGACTGTGCGACTGAATAACAACAACAAGAAGAATGATATATATCAGTGGTGGCGAACCTATGGCACGGGTGCCAGAGGTGGCACTCAGAGCCCTCTCTGTGGGCACGTGTGCCATCGCCCCAGCCAGGGCCAGACCATCATTAAAGTGTTGAAGTCTCTGCCAAATAATTTTAAGTAAATGAAAGCATTTGGGATTGCTTTCCTTACTTTGTTTTGATCATCTTAAGTTAATGTATGAGTTGTTTTTTCTAAAGTAAAACCTCAGTATTCAGGTTAAATTGCCGGGTTGGCACTTTGCGATAAATAAGTGGGTTTTGGGTCGCAGTTTGGGCACTCGGTCTCTAAAAGGTTCGCCATCACTGATACAGATACCAGAACAGCTCTTGAGTAACAACAACAAATCCCCATCTCACACAAGGGAGACTGCAGAGCCTGTTGTCATTGCTTGGGATGTACTATCAAACGTGATTCCCTGTTTCATTTGTAAACAAGGGCACGCCTGGCTTCAGTTCATCCATTGAGTATAAACAGAAATATGCTATTAGCTTAGCAGCCCCTCTCATACCCTCTAAGTATAGGTGGGAACAGTGGGATGTGACATGCCTCTGACCCATAGAGTCAGAGTGGGATGTGACATGCCTCTGACCAGGAGGTTGTCTAGCCATTTCTGTGATTGGGTCAAACATGGGTAAGCTTTAAAAATGGGTAAATCTCCCTCTCAAGGAGTCATCAGAGAAAACATATATTTTATTAATCCATATATCCCACGAATTGAGGGATTCATAGGATTTCCTTACAAACAATTCCTGCACGTAAGTATCTAAGTAATCTTACCTTGAGCTACAACTTTGGATAAAATTGTTTTTAGAAAAGTGGGATCTAAATATTTTAAAGGCAAAAAAAAATCTTACTGGCTTATTGCAACCAGACTTGTATGCTTTAATAGTAAGACTGCTCTAACAGTAGGGTTTCCAAGTCTATCTTTGCCGGGAGCGGGGGGCTCCTGGCCGGCGTCTTGTGCGCGCGGGGGGGGTACGAAGCGCGCGCGCACCGCACGCACATCACCCGGAAGTGACAGGAGGACGCCAGGCACGCTGGGGGCAGGGCCACGGTCATACAAGGGAAAACCATAGAGTTTTCCCTTGTATGGCCGTGGCCCCGCCCCCAGCGTGCCCGTGTCACTTCGCGGTGGAGTTCCCCTCGGGGCCCGATCTGGCGGTGCCAGGGAACGGTCCTCTGGGGCGGGGGTTTCCCCGCCCCCCAGGGGGACTTGGGATCCCTATCTAACAGTAAGTCAAGGAGGACAATGAGATCTCATAAGAGTTTACAGCCATGCCTATCACTGGAGTAACCATTTCCTTTTGCTTTGTACATACACAAAGATATGCACCTCCCATATCTTTGGCCAGGAGCTCCAAGCAGAAGAAGGGCAGACCAAATATCTGGAGGAATGCATTATGGACTGGCAGAATGAACTCTGCCTTTGGAGTCGGTGGCTGTGTTTCTTAAATGCTGCAGAGGACCAATCACCTCAGAGGTAGAACTCCATAATTTAGACTATGCATTTGAAATTAACACTGCAGGCATAAAAACAGGTTGCTCTTGAATACTGTAAATTTGTCCAGGGAGAATGTTTATTTTAAAGATGGTGATTTCTACCCAGATAACCAGTAATATATATTCCTGTTAGTCTTTGCTCACGGATAGTCCATGTGAGTCAACAAGGCCTCAATACTACCTACTTCCAGTTGTCATCTCAATGATATTACAAGATGACAATATTCGGTTAGTCCAGAACCCACTGCTGTGAAACACTTGTCATTATTTCAGTCTTCCAACTGAAAGGGAAAAATATAATTTGAAAAATATAATTTGAAATAATAATACTAATAATTCTAATAATTTGATTTAGCAGATCCTAAAGGCAAAGACGGAGCTGCGGTGGCTCAAGTGGTTAAGACGCTGAACTGCAGGCTGTGGAAGGTCGGTAGTTCAGCAGTTCGAGACCCAGGTGCCGCATGACAGAGTGAGCTCCCGTCTCTAGTTCCAGCTCCTGCCAACCTAGCAGTTCGAAAGCAAGAAATTGCAAGTAGATAAATAGGTACCACTTTGGTGGGAAGGTAACAGCGTTCCGTGCGCCTTGGTGTTTAGTCATGCCGGCCACATGACCAAGGAAACGTCTTCGGACAGCGCTGGCTCTTCGGCTTGGAAATGGAGATGAGCACCACAACCCTAGAGTCGGATTCGACTGGCTTTCGAGCAAGGAAAACCTTTGCCTAACTCAGTCTAAGTGTGGTTTTGGCACAGTGCCACTCTTTAAATAGAGAACTTGACTTTCTTTAGTACTGGTTAGCGCTGGCTCTTTGGAAACGGAGATGAGCACCGCGACCCTAGAGTCGGACTCGACTGGCTTTCGAGCAAGGGAACCTTTACCTTTACTACGCTGAGAATAAATATGACTGTGCATTTTTCTATGTGTATGCTGAGAATGGGGCTGCGGTGGCTCAAGTGGTTAAGATGCTGAACTGCAGACCTGAAGGTCGGTAGTTCAGCAGTTCGAGACCCGAGTGTGCTGCATGACGGAGTGAGCTCCTGTCTCTAGTTCCAGCTCCTGCCAACCTAGCAGTTCGAAAGCAAGAAATTGCAAGTAGATAAATAGGTACCACTTTGGTGGGAAGGTAACAGCGTTCTGTGCGCCTTGGTGTTTAGTCATGCCAGCCACATGACCACGGAAACGTCTTCGGACAGCGCTGGCTCTTCGGCTTTGAAACGGAGATGAGCACCACAACCCTAGAGTCGGATTCGACTGGCTTTCGAGCAAGGGAACCTTTACCTTTACTTTTAAAGGCAAAGACAGAAACATTTCTCTAACCTGTATTTGTTGCAAGAACAACATTAGCCCGTGTCAGGATTTCAGACATCGCTATTTCCTCTCGCTCCTTCAGCTCTTTCCTCAGTGTCTTAATCTCATTTAGAAAATGGCTTCTCTCTCCTTTGCCATGGGTCTTTTTGGTCTTTGCCTGCACCACAGGGAATAAAAAAGAATTTAAAAAATACAGCATATCACTGTGCACAAAGGTAATGGCTAAAGCAGCTGAAACTCTCATAAGAAATCAACATATTGCAAATACAGCATCGGTTGTACTCTTTAGAAAAGGATTAATTCTTCTGCTTCTAGTGACAGAGAAGTTAAGTCTACATGAGGGAAGGAAAAACAGCTTGTATTTACCGCAGGTGCACATGTAATATGAATTTTTTTGAAGAGAGACAGATTTTCTGGGATTAGCATCGATGAACTTCTACCCCTAACGACAAAAAGTTTAATGAGGAAAAAAATGAATCCAAATGGAGATGAGTTCAGTTTCACTGATGCCCTAAGGTATGCATAAACAATGGGTAATGATATATATGTTTCAACCTTTGTTGCTAATAGCTTGAACTAAAAATAAATAATGAAAATACATTGTTAACGTCTAGATGCTTTTTGAAACAGTACACTGTAACTCCACATCATTAATATGTAACCACCCTGTAATCTTATTAGGTAAAACAGAGCAAATACAGTGTGTTCTATAATTAAACACATTGCATTACGAATTGTTCTGGAGATAATTCTGAAAAACATTGCTTTATGCAGTTGTTTCACCTGGGTGCCTGAAGATGCATATTTAAAGTCACAGATCTAAACTGGCAGCAAAGTAAGACACAGGATAGATGTCTGTACTTTCCATGGGCTTTGATAATTTGCTTAATATGCCATTGCCCTCAAAGTAACTCTACTTAGCCCCTAAATTGTTATTACTAAATTAAATGTAGTCTCAACAGCAATATACTTAACCCAGGCTGTCCTCAGAAGAAGAAGAAGAGATTGGATTTATACCCCACCCTTCACTACCCAAGGGAGTCTCAGAGCGGCTTACAAACTCCTTTCCATTCCCCTCCCCACAACAGACAACCTGTGAGCAGTGTTCCCTCTAAACTGAGTTAGTGTGAGCTAGCTCACAGTTTTGTAGTCTCCAGCTCACACCTTTTTGTCTTAGGAAGGATGGCTCCAGAGCTAGCTAATTTATTCAGTAGCCAAATCGCTTGCTCACAATGCCAGTAGCTCACAAAGTAGAATTTTTGCTCACAAGACTTCACAGCTTAGAGGGAACATTGCCTGTGAGGTCGGTGGGGCTGAGAGAGCTCTTGACAGAAACGGCTCTTTTTCAAGGACAGCTCTTACCAGAACTACGGCTTGCCCAAGGTCATCCAGCCAGGTGCAAGAGGAGGAGGGGGGAATCAACCCCGGTTCTCCCAGATTAGAGTCCCCGCACTTAACCACTGCACCAAACTGAGGGGGGGGGATTAGGGGGATGCTAAGGAAACCGCAGGGCTCAACTTGGAACCAGTTTGCCTTGAGCCTGGCTGCCAGTGCCTGTAACCTCCTCTCTCCCCATTGTCAGTGGGGAACAAGTCAAGTCCACTCGGTCCAGGACACTGTGTAGGCTTGTAAGGCAACGACAGGCCTGTGACCGTTGCCTCCTCCCATCCACCTGACAGTGGGGAGCAAGCCAGGCTCGGGAATGCTGCCAGCCGTGGAAGGGCTCCGCTCGCACCACTGGCAGTGCAGGTCTTGGAAACGATGGGCACACACCACTGCCCATCACCCCCCCACACACACTTCTAGCCGGGAGCGAGCCAAACGCCAGCAGCCCAGCCAGTGCCTTAGGGGCTCAGCTCATACCAGACCAGCAGCACAAGGGGGGGGGGGAGGCTCAGGAGGCAACAAAAGATTAGGGAGGTGAGAAAATGGACCCCTGCAAGATAGGATCACACAACAAGCTACTTTAAATGCTATGACATAAGACCACCACCCATGAGAGCTGTGTTTCACCGGCATTTTCCCTATAATACTGGGACGGGAGATGAGGAAGAGAGATGATAAATCCTTTGTCCACACTCTCCTTCACCAATCACTTATCGGGATTCTCTTGGGGTAACTTAGAAATGTACTTTGCTCCGTACTTCAGGAATGTACCGCACATGTTCTGCAGTTGAACTGCTTTTGGCCAAAGGACTTGGTGCCAAAATGGCCCGAGTCACACCTTTTATTTGAAGCGATGGGCAACACCCTACACTCTGTGTGTGGAAGGCACACTGTTCGCCCACACTCCTCTCCTGCGATGCAGGTCTTTCCAAACCCCAGAACAACCCTTCCTGGGGTCACAGGATCTGTGCGGAGGAACAGCTGAGAAGGTTGGAGGACCAAAGGGAGGAAAGGAAAAGGGATGAAATCGATCTCTTTCCTCCCCGGAGCTGAACTTGCATAAGAGGAAAGGGAAGCTATTTCATCTCCTTATCCTCCTCGATCCAGCCCCGCTAACATATATGGCTGTTCCTCCAGGTAGTCCAATAAGCCTTAGAAACATCTTTCCATGGGTTGGAAGGGGGTGGAAAAACTGCGAGAAACACAGGAAAATGAGGAATTCTGTGCATAGATATTGTCCTATGTTCCTAAACCCTGAAAGAAGAAGAAGAGAAGAAGAGGAGATTGGATTTATACCCCACCCCTCACAACCCAAAGGTGTCTCAGAGCGGCTTACAAACCCCTTTCCCTTCTCCTCCCCACAACAGACACCCTGTGAGGTCGGTGGGGCTGAGAGAGACTCTGACAGAAACTGCTCTTTTTCAAGAACAGCTGTGCCAGAACTACGGCTTGCTCAAGGTCACCCAGCAGAATAACCCCACATTATAAACACACATCCTACATTTTCCCTGCATTACATTCGAGTAAACGTCTTAGAGCCTTAAGGCACACTGTTGTTCAAAACAGACAGGTATCACAGCGCTGCCCTCAGCAATGAACACAAATTATTCAAAATCCATCAGATTATTTTTATTAGTACAGTGTTTATTATGCAGAATAACAGAATGGGGAAAAAACCAACCCTGAAGAAATGGGGTGGGGGGGTGGGATCAAGCCCTAAAGCTTCCTATGGAGCCCTCTGGATCAACTACGTGGGCCAACGTGGTACAGAAGCAAGAGTGCTGGGTTGGGCCATGAAAAGCCAGGTCCAAAAACCTGCAGCCCTGCAAAGGGTAGCCTTCCGTGAGTCACTCTCTTTCAGCCCAATTCCTTTGTTGCCAGATTACATGAGCCGGTATCTCATCTAACAAATTAAACTGCAACCTGGCCTTCCTGCCCGTTCCAGTCTGACTGAGTGGTCACTGTGAGCAGCTTCCCTGTGCCTGCCAGACTGCCAATTACTTTGCAGCCATTTAAAAAGTAATAAGTACAAAGTGATATCCATCTGGTCTTCGTGCAAATCATTTCGAAATCGCCTTTTTTTTCAGGGGAGCCAACTGAAAGTGCTCAAAATTCAAGAAAATAATCTTGTGTGATGCAGAAGGGCAGCACTTGTACAGCGGGAATCAAGCCTGAGACCAAGATATCACCTCACTATTTTCCTAGGATGATCTATAAACCATGAGCACAAACATTCATAAAACAGGTCTTCCCCAAAAACCTCATGTGACCCCCTAAAAAGGTATTGCCAGATTACTCCTGACAATGCTATTTCAGAGGGTTCTGGGGAAAAGGAAAGGTGGGGGAGGATGCACTCCCATGAGTGCCTTGTGCTTGTCATTCACAGGATCCAGCTGTATAAGCATCACCTATACCAAACCAAAAGTCCCCAAAATACTGACAACCAGGGGTCATTTCCTGCAGGAGCACACAGGAGCGGAGCTCTGGCAGTAAAGAGCCCAGGGGGCGGGCACATGCAACAAGCCCCACCCCCTGCTCCCAGCAGCCCCCAATCAGAGGGTGTGACATATGCAAATATGTTATGCTAATGAGTTATGCTAATGAGCTCCTGCACCTCTTTTCCTACGAAATGACCCCTGCTGGCAACAATATAGAGAAGATGGAATGTCTGTAACACGCGGCCCTAACGCTTGAGGAGCAGCGTCTGGCAAACTATCTTCTAGTGCAATTCAGTTTGGATGGGCATTGAGCTCTCAAACAGACTGCTGTTGGGGACTCTTCCAAACAGAGAACAGCTTCTCAGTTGCTTCAACTCTCTGGTACTTAAAGACTATTATGAAGAGAAATGTGGCCATAGTACAAATAACAAACTTCTGAGGTGAGGGGTGGGGGCGAGAGGGTAAACTTTAGCTCCCACTTGATAGCAGACAAACGGCAGTTGGGCTGTTGTTGATTCTTCTCCAGTTAAATAGGCTGCCACTGAGCTTTAAGAGAACATATTTCATTTGGAACGGCTCGACAGATCATAATAGAGATTCCTTATCTATGAACACTCCTGGCTCCATAAAATGTCACAGCTCTGGTATGTGTTATTTTTGGAGTTTTGACTTGGCAGATGCAATTCACAAGCGGGCACATCTCCTGCAGAGCAACAGAAAATAAAAAAGGAGAGGGAACACTGGGGCACCAAAACATCGACTGCCGAAGACTCCTTTTAGACACAATCCTATTTATTTTGGTAAAGAACTTCGGGGCAAGTAGACCCTCGGCTCACTTGATGTCATTGGGGCTCACAGAACAGACCACAGCTCAGTCAGGAGCCGTGGGTGTGAGTGTGCTGGGGCACTTCAGTTGGTGTGACAGAACAGCCCCGAGGAAGAAAACGGGCAGTTGGGTTAGATTCTGCACCGACTCTTCTGTGTCCTTCCTGCACGCTGCATTTGAGCAAGTATGACGACAAGAAAGCACAGCTGGACTACCGTCAGCATTTGTTCCCACTCCATTTGACATATTATACAATTGCAGATTTGTTACAGGCAAAGGCCAGGCCTGCGCAGCTTGTGAACGACCAAACTAACTACTACCAACTAGATACCATATGGCTGCCAATCCCTACAATAACCACATAGGCTTTTTTCCTTTTCGGCCTGGACTTGACTGATCTTGTGATGCATAAAAGCAATGAACAAGACTGGGCTTCACAGCACAACTTGCGGTTGTTCAAACGGGCATGGAATCCAATTATGTTGTCTATCCATCCAGCCTGTCTCC